TAGCCTATTAATAGGCTTTTCGATTGCCAACGCTTGTCGAAAAATTGAATTACTGTTACCTTGAATTTATTTTATGAATGTTAGTTTATATGGCCCTTTATTATATAAAATAAATGCAAAATAAAGTATAAATATCAATAAAATTACATTCCTTTAAAACAAAAGGAATAAGCACAACACAATGAATAGCGAAAATTTAGCCGGTACTGGGATTAAGTGCGCGCGCGACTCAGCCGGTACTTAGTGATTGGCAGCCTCAAAAACGACCGGTCAATAAAGTGTTAATAATAATTCATATTTTAGATACACAACTAGGTCAATCAGTCTGTATAAGACTTGATTCACCAATATGATTATTAGTTTACATTCCCCACCTTTATATACTTGAATCACGAAAATAATTAATATCTGAAACATTTAGTATTTTTATTATTTACTACAATAATTGAAAAGCGTTCTTCAGAAAATAAGTATAACAACTCTGACGACTTTTTCGATCATATATGGATCGAAAAGACCATTTTCGTTTAAAATGTCCGTAAAATCGACTAGAAAATCATTTTCGATGGCTTAGAAATTCGATAATGAAAGATACATCAGCAGCCTCTCGCAGATCGCTTCGATATAGCTCGTTCGATCACAGAAAGGAGGCAAAATAAGAGGATATTTCAGCTCCATGAAGACGTACATCTCATACCTCTTTGTTCTCCTTTTACTTCCTTTCTTCTCTTCCATTTCTCGCCACCGAACTGACAATGCGTCGAACTGGTCGATACATACCCGTACGTGAACTATAGCGCAATTTATACAGGGTATTTCCAAAATGGTGGTAAAACAAAAATTTCATAAATGTACATGAAAATCCAAGAAAAAAAATAGAAGTTCTTATACAGTTTCATTTTTGAGAAAATTGAATTTGAATATTTTTCAAGTATTTGTAGAAAAGTTTGTTTTCAACGTACGTGACAAATTTTTTTGTTAATTTTTTTTAACAAATATGAGTCAGTAAATGTGATTATTGCTATCATTGAAGTACCTTTATCTCCGTTACTTACAACGCATTTTATCAGTCCTTATCAACTTTTATCGAACTATAGATTAGTTCATGCAATAGTCTCATGAAGACTGGTAACGAACGACTGTGATAATAACAAAAATTCATTTAGTGAATAAAATTGAAAATTCAAATACTTCCAATAATTGACTATTTATGTATTCACGTGGGTTGCAAATCCACAGTTTAGGGTGGTATTTATTCGATCAAATAAATAGAATTTATTTTGTATTTTCGTATCACGTCTGTACCCATGAATGAAAGTGTACACGAAAATAAATTATATCTCAAATTAGATCAAATCGAAAAACGTCAAATAACTATAAAAACGTTAATGAACGATAATTATTCAAGAACGTTATCTCGATATTTAATTCGTATCTCAAAGACATAAATACTGCAAAAACCTGAATATCTCATATTTGCACCCTGTCTGGTATCTGTACTGCACAAAGCAGTTCGATAGAAAATTATTTTCATTTTAATGCATCGAAACAAACGTAATCGGGAACTGCATTAACGGAGACAAGACTTTAATAAAAAGTTAATTAAGCTTCGATTTCTTAGAACAGTCGTGTACATCCCCTTCATGAAAACCAATTACTCTCGATGTTCATCTCAAAGCATTTACCTGGCCGGAATGGCATTTCGCTGTAGATAAGATCGATACTGAAATATGAAGCAATCCGTGGACCTTATCGATATTCATCAGCGGTAATTTCAATTCAATTCGGTATATTCAAGCACGAATTCTCGAAACCCTTAAAGCATTTACAGCTGATTTTGGTTAATCAAGCATTCTATGTTAGAATCTAATTGAACATTGCATCATGTGTAAAATTTGAGGTTATACACTTGGGTGTGGACTTTCTTTAGATAATGATACATGTACGCTTGACAATTTTTTTGTTTCGTTGATTCAAAAATTCGTACATTTATCAAATTTCTAAGTATTCAAGTTTTTAAATGTTAAGTCTGTAAGTTTTCTAAATTTCCAAGCTTCTGGTTCTCCGAGTCCTGACATTTTTGGATTACACATTTCTATGCTTTCTAAATTCACATTTGCAAATTTTCGAATTTTTAAACTTCCAAATTTTCAAATTTCCAAATTGTCGAATTTCCAAATTTCAAGTTTTAAAATTTTTAAACTTCCAAATCTACAAATTTTCAAATTTCTAAATTTTTGTATTTCCAAATTTTCATATTTCCGAATTTTTAATTTCCAAATTTTTAATTTTCCAACTTCCAAAAAACCAATCTTCCAAATTTCCAAATTTCAGGATTGTAATATTCCAGAACTACAAATTTAAAGTTCTAAGGTTCAACAGTTAAAAAATTCTAAAATCCAAGATTTCAAAAGTTCCTCCAATATTCAGAAATCGAAAAATTCCAAACCCCTGAAATTCAAGGAACTTAAAACAGCGAAAGAAAATCCTGAAAACTTTGCATGTCGAAAAATTGTGGTCCAAAAATTCTAAAGAAACACCTTTCGAAAGTAACGTGTATTCTTTTGTATCCTAGAAGGTACAATAAAAGCGATTCGGCTCCTTCAAATAAAAATGAAAATTATGCAGTAGGTAATCGTACGCAACTTTTCCCTATTGTCGGTACCTCTTTAAAGATTTCCCAAACGCACTAAATATGTAAAATAAAATCTACGAAGAATGCAGAATTTTCTCGCGAGGCGGAGCGACTACATTTTCTGTGTCACAGGATTTCCGCGAAATTTTGTATAATGTGTCCCGATAAAACGCTGACAAGTGAATGCACGAAATGAGATATGAAAATTTCATTTTATCATCGAAATTCTGTTGCTTTTATCATTTCTCTTATATCAAATTTCATGATGCAGCTGCGGCACATGAATAAATAGAAAAGAATGGCTGCGGTAAAAAAATGTTTACATATCTTATCCGTGTAATCGAAGATAATTAAAAAAAATATATATACACTTACCGTTCATAAGTATCCGAACACAAGCGAAATATGCATTCGCGTTGCATGAAAGTTATTCCAGTATCTGCAACAGTAACTAAAATCGATTTTTTTTTCTGCGAAGGTCAGAATACTGGAACGTTTTTCGATTGATAATTCTCGTTTGGAACTCATATCTCGATGGAAAAGAAGCTACAGACGAACTAAACCGAAACTGTCGAGCGTTACCTCCATTCTTATCTCCATTGAGGGAACCTAAACATCTCCCAACAGTTTACAAACACTTGAAACATATCGAAGAACCCTCTGAATACGTTCTGCACCATAGAAATGAAACACAGTAG